CACCGAGGCAGGTGGGCGAGCCTGTGTCCAGGAGGAGGCGGGGCGGGTCCCTGCCTTTCTGGCTCGGGCCCTGGCGGCTGCCACATTCTGCCGGGAGAGCGGAGGGCTCAAGGGTCAGGTGCAGCCTGGCTCTGCTTGTTAGCTGACTGACCCCGGGCAAACTCCCCAGCCCCTGTGCCTCGGTGTCCCCACTTGTGGAATGGGGATATGGCGCTAGCTACCTCATAGAGGGTTATTGTGAGGGCTGGTGAGACAGTGCACGTGGAACATTTAGGTCACAGTGCCCAGCACATAATAGGTGCCCCATAAACTGTGACCACTGTAATTGGCACCATCCAAAGGGGGGCAGTTGACCTACCTTCCCCGAGGAAATGCTTCTGAGACTTGCACCCTCATCTAGTAAGCTGGGGAGGGGGGGGCACGGGGGCCTGGGCTGCAGGAGGGCTGGGAGTGTGAGGCCATGGTGGGGTTGGAGGGAGAGAGGGAGTGGCTCCCTGGCCTTTTCCTTTAAAGTTCCCAGCCTGCTCAACCCCAGTCAATCCCTTACAGCCAGAGGGGTGGGTTTCTCAGGGCTGGTGAGCCCAGCCTCTCCGCCAGCCAAGCAGTGTGACCACTCTGGCCGCAAAGACACTTGACTGGCCCGTGTCCCCATGCCCACAGGGCTGACCCCAGTCATGTGAGCATCTTAGGCTTCTTGGAGCCCAGGATCCAAGAAGGAGTGATGGCCATGATTCCCAAGGTTCATACTTTCCTAGCTTACTGCACCCCCCCTGGGGACATGTGGGTTTTGGGGGCCCCACGGAGCCTGTATGTAATACCATTTGCTGGGGGGAGGGAGGGAAAATGACCAGTGTGCTTTGCCCAGTGCCTTGGCCTGTGAGATAGTCACTTCCTTCCGAGTTGTCTATCATTTCTTCGGTTTATTCAGTCAACAACCCTCCTATTAATCCACCCACCCATGTGTGCACTTTCCCACCGAGCATCTGTTTATCCAACCATGAAACCAGCCAACCGGCCGTACAACCACCACTCACCAGCCAGCCATCCTGCCCACATCATCCATCCATCCTAGCCACTCTCCATCCACCACCCACCACCATCCGTCCATCCATCCATCCATCCATCCTACCCACTCTCCATCTACCCATCCACAATTCATCTGTCCATCCATCCATCCACCATCCATTCATGTATCTGTCCATCCATCCATCCATCCATCCATCCAATCCATTCTCCATGCACCATCCACCATCTATCCATCCATCCCTCCTACCCATTGTTCATCCATCCATCCATCCATCCATCCTTCCATTATCCATCCATCCTATCCATTCTCCATCCACCATCCATTCATCTGCCCATCCATCAATCCGTCTGTCCATCCATCATCTAGCCATCCATCCATCCTACCCACTCTCCATCCACCATCCACCATCTATTCATCCATCCATCCTACCCATCCATCCATCCATCCATCCATCCGCCATCCATCCGCTTGTCCATCCTTCATCCATCCGCTTGTCCATCCTTCATCCATCCATCTGCCTCCCCAACATAGATTTATTGAATATCTTCTCCGAACACAGTATGTGGTATCTAACTTTCTGGGGCTTTTGCAGGTACAACTTTTGAGACTTTCTGCCTTGCCTTTGGCTCTGTCCTTATTTCTCTCTCCCTGTCTCTTTTTCCCACTCTGTCCCCATGTCTGTCTCACTGTCTTCGCTGAGTGCTTGCCTCTGCTTCTCTCTCTCTCTGGCTATCCCTCTCTTTCCCTGTTTTGTCCGTGTCTGTCCCTGACCCTCAGGTGCGTCTCTCTATCCTCTCCCTCCTTGTCTCTCTTTCCTCCTACCTGCCTGTGCTCTGGCTTTGCATGGGGTCCTATCCCTGCTTGCCCTGGGTCCCTGTCCTCTCTTCTTTGATCTCTTCCTGTCCCCAGTCCCTTAGGGTAAAAGCTTCACCTCTTCCCCCTGCTTGCCTGCCCAGACTGCTCAGAACTGACACTCTCTTTGATGAGATGCCTGTGAGGTGATGTCTAGGTTTTGGTAAAGGTCATAAATAAATTATCAATCCTCTCTTGGACAGGAGTACTGACCCCCCCCCCCCATTATCAGCAGAGGGCCTGTGGTGTGGGGGTGCTCCAAAGACCGATGGGAACCTTGGTCTTGGTGCCCTGTCCCTTGGCTAGCCTCAGAGTGGCCTTGGGAACCCCTGGCTTGGCAATGCCCAAACTGGAGACCCGCTCTCTGCCACCCGCTTTGGGGCCCCGGGCTCCGCCTGCTGTCACTGAGCACTTACTGTGTGTCTCACGACGTCTAAGTCTCCACCCCACGAGAACGGCGCCGTGAGGCCCATCTAAGGATGAAGAAGTAGGTTCATCTGGAAAGGGATTGGGGGCAACCTGCCAGGAAGGGGTGGTAGCTGGAAACCTGCACTCCCCTGGCCACCAGCTCTTGTCCCCTGCCTGGTGGTGGGTCGGGGGTGGAGAACAGAAGGAGCCTCCTTCCCAAGCCCCAGAGACGATGGTGGATGTTGAGCTGGGTCCCCATCGCTGGCAGATTTGACTGCCTTTCTGGACCCTGGCAGTGGAGCTTTTGTCCCTGCACCCGGCTTGGGCCCCCGAATCCTTCGACCATCCTCAGATCAGATGACCTAACTTTTCCCTCCATAATCTGATCACCTTGCATTTGCAAACCTCCCCGGGGGGCTGCGTTCTTGCCCAGAGGAGGGGGCAGGAGCTGGGCAAAGCATAACCCAC